ATTGTCGACATTAGTAAAAAAAAAAAAAAAAAAAAATTCCAGTATCTATACCACCATTTGTAAACACTATAACTTTCACGTAAACCAATTCATTTACACGTATTGGGATTTTTTTTTTTTTTGTAGCAAAGACATGGAGCAGAATACATTTTGGCCTAAATTTGTGACAATTTTACATTTCTTTACTGGACAAGTTTAATAGCAAAAAGTCAAAAATATAGTTTCTCCAAATTTTTTTTTTTTTTTTTTAATCGTGAAAAAAAAAAAAAAAAAGCACAGGGAATTAAATACAACAGAAAGAAAGCTCAATTTGTGAAAAAAAGACGTAAATTTAATTTGGGTGCAGCGTTGCATGGCCGCGCAATTGTTAGCTAAAGTAACGCAAAAAATGGCCTGGTCAAGAAGGGGGGGGGGGGGGGAACCCTCAGGAGGGCAAGTGGTTAAAACCATGTTTATAGACTTGCTGGGATGGATAAATAAAGGGTAACAGAAGAATGGACGATGTAACTTACCTGGGAAATGCTGCTACTGGCATCCTACCAGTGCTTATCAAAACCAAAAGCCCTACAAAGCTAGACATGCAATTTTTTTTTTTTTCACATAATTGGCCAACCTAAAACACTGATCTTCCCCCTTAATGGGGATTAACTAGCCCAGAAACTTGGATATGCAATCAGAACTGAAGGGAACCTAAAACAGCATAAAACTGGTATGGGTCCTATCCCTTCTATGTTATTGACCCCTCTCAGCAACATTGTTACCACATAGTTAAAGTGGTTGTAAATCGCAGACATGAAAGATGAACAAAACCCTTCCCTTTTAGTCCTCATGCACACTGGCGCGATTTTACAGCGGCTGTTTTTTGGCTTTTGACTTTTTTTTCTACAGCTAGTAAACCCCCCAGCATGTTATCCTATGTGTCCATGCACACAGACTAAATGTTTTTTGGCTGGGGGGAAAAAAAAAAAAAAAAAAAAACCCACAGGACTAGTGGGTTTCTAGTTTTTTTAGCTGTAAAACTGTGGCAAAAAGGCCACAAAACAAGCATTTTAGGACTTTTTTTTTTTACAAAACAAAAAAACAAAACAAAAAAACGCTAACAAACGCGAATGCAAAAACGCTTAAAAAAAAAATAGCTGTGTAAAGTCACGTTATAAACCTGAGGCTTTTCAGGTTTATAACGTGACTTTACACAGCTAATGTTACCAGCGCTATCAAAATGCCCCATGTACATGGAGGCTTATGTGTCATTTCTGTCTTGTGGAAGTTTCTCTTGCAGCGGATGAAGCACCAGTTTTCCTGACACCAACAGAAATATGGTGACGGGGAGGGACATCCAGAAGATTGACAACCTCAGCTCTGCTCCTGTGAGCTGCATGAAGGGGGGGGGGGGGGGGGGGGGGGGGGGGCGGGGGGAGGGGGGGGGGGGGAGCGGGGGGGGGGGGGGGGGTGTCCCTTCCCTCCAATCAGCTCTCAGAGCTCTTCTCACGGAGCTCTGCAGAGTGTAATTTCAGCTCTCCGGCCCCTTGCTTTCTGAACTTTCAGACGAGCTTTATAAATCCAATACTTTGAACTGGATGGAGAGAAGCGACAACTGCAGATAAACAGATACAACTTGTTTAGGAAGATTTGTTTCATCTCTGTGTATCCCCTGAGGCCAGTCACTTCACTGGGTATATGAAAGGGTTTACAACCACTTTAAATATGAGAATAGATCAACTTTAATAAACAAAACCAGACAAGTGGTTACCAATCACAGGCACTCAACACATGTACAATGATCAGGCTGATTTATTTTTCTTTTTTTGTGTGTGTGGCCATATCACTTCATAAAAACAATACAACTGTAGAGGCAGTTTTTTAAAACGTAGCTTATTTTTTTCTCTTTCTACCCACCGAGAGCACATTACGAGTCAATGCAGATGGAGGTGCATGCCATGTGGGCAATCAGGAGCGCCATTCCGAGAGCTCCATTTGCCATGTTTTTACAAGTGACAATGGACCATTGCGCCTGGCTTGTGGAAAAAAAAAAAAAAAAAAAAAAAAAAAAGCTTAGACTATAGCAGGGTTGAGCAGCCACCGTGGGTCTCCTGCTCTGGAGGAACTGCAGATCTCGTGCAGCAAGCTCAACCTTACTTTGCGGCGTTTTTAAGATCAGACAAACCAAAGTTATGGTTTGGAGGCAGTAACAGACTATAGAAAAGTCTCATACTGATTTTTAACATGGCGCAGCCATGGCATGTGGGGGATGCGACTGTACCCCCTTGTAACATCACTTACCGTCAGCCACGATGCGTAGCTTAGTGTTTATGTCATACTAAATCACGCTAATATGAGAAGTCAAGGCCGATAATTCAACTGCAGCATAATTACAATGGGTACACAGACTTGATGATGATTGTGTTTGCAGGAAAATCTGAAGTCCGAGGTACAAGCTGTCGACGGTGATGTCCGGTAAAGAACAAGATGGCGCCTTTAAACTGAACACTGAAAAACCAATGGCCCTCTGGGCTGGAGAACCATCAGGGGTCTGCTCTCCTGAGTAAAGCTAAACAAAGACTTGGACCAAGTCCAAACATAAAAGAAAAAAAAAAAAAAAAATAAGACAACCCTAAAGCTGTGTATTTGCCCTCTGAATGGCACTGAAATGACAACAAATGTTAAATGTCCCCTAAAAATCACAAATGTTGGAATTCAGGAAACCATCTTCATGCTGGAAACTACAAACACATCTTCCTGTAAAATGGTCAATGAAAAAAAAACGGATGACTGTCAAGGGATGGGAAAAAGAAAAACACAAAAAAAAAAACAAAAAACCATGATTTTAATTACGATTCTTCCATGTTGTTTTCGCTTTAAATACGACAGCAGGTGGCCTTCTGATGAAAACGGAGCCCCCGTATTTTAAAGGAAAAAAAAAAAAAAAAAAAAAAACCAAGTCCAACAAGCATACCACCGAATTCTATGCTGTAAAGGGGAGGGAACGGCTATACGCCTGAAAAAAAACATAATCCCACATTTAAGGTACTCGAGTCACAGTGTCGAGTTAAAGCATCGCTATTAACCACCTCCCCAAATAATCCCCTCATTTTTGTGCAGCTTTATCCTGAAGGTATAAGGAACAGTCTTTTTGTGTATATTTTTTTTTTTTTTAGTTTTGTTTTTAAAAAGTCGCCTGTAACGTTCAATACTTCACTCCTGGAACAAACTCCTTTGCGTCGGGATTCAGGGTACTTTTGCTCTAAAAGAAAAAAAAAAAAAGAAAGAAAGGATCAAAGACAGAATGGCGTTTTTAAGTCCTGATAAACAGTAAAAAATTATTTCAGTATGTATTTTTACGCTGGTGAACAAAAGCAAAAGCTCTGAAAAAGGGAGTTTGTCTCCCGAAGTGCGTTAGTTTACCTCACCTAGGGTCTACCACCACTTTGGACTGTCATTACGGACTCTTCATGTCTGTTCCTATCCCCCTTTGGTTTGTGAGTATGCATTTATATGCTTCCTAATAAATTCTTGGTTTACTACATTAATGCACGAAGAGAGTGCGCCCTGTTCTGCTTTTGTTCACCAGTATCAAGATTTCCCGATCTTTAACCTCCCTGGCGGTATTCCCGAGTGTAGCTCGGGGTAAAATTTGAGTACCAAGAGCGGTAACCCCCGAGCTACACTCGGGAATACCATGCGGCGTTGCTCAGGGAGTCCCTGCAGCACTTACCTTGTCCTTCGCTCCTGCGATGCGTCCCCTGCAGCGTCCCCGGCCATCTCCTCCGGCTTCTGTGTTCCGGTCCCTGTGATGTCGGGACGTACGGCGGCAAAGTTGAAATTTTTAAAAAATGTCATTTTTTTAAAAATGATTATTACATAGTAAAACATTGCTGTTTCAATGCATTTCACATACATTTTGTCCCTACTGGTTTGTCCGGCGCCCTGCCTACATCTTAACTGTTCTTTCTGCCTGGAAACTTAGAAAAGTCCACGGCGTCCAAATAGCGTCCCTTTAGGTCAAAAGCGGTTTTAGACCGGCTAGAGAACAGCGATAGTAAATTAGAACCACTTGCAGAATTGAGTGATAATGATTAGTGGGGGAAATTCGTCATCAACACTGAAAACTATTTTGCGACTTTGCTCAGCGATGTGCGAATTTGCCTCTGTATTTCAAATTTCAGTGTTTTTGGTTTGATTACATTATTGAATTAAAATTTATTATATTTTTTATGATTATTTATTAAATTATAATTTATGATTTCGTGTTTCAAGTTTTATCATACCCGGGATGTTTACTAGACTCTTGTTCGGACAGATTTCAGTGAGTTATTCCTAAAAATTACAGCCTACAATAAAAAAAACTACATATTTTCCATGCAAAAAAATGGTACCGCTTTCAGCACAAAAAAAAAAAAAAAAAAAAAAAAAAAAAAAAAAAAAAAAAAAAATCGGAAATAATCATACTGCAGAGGAGGTTAAGGGCTGCACTTCTACGAATGACAGTTTCGGTTATAGTCTGCATGAAGATCTGATTGCTGGTTTCATTTGAATGTATTTTTATGCAGCTGCTCTTTTCTCCATTACCGACTTACCACATCTTGTTCTGCATGGTGTCCCATGAGGAAGCGGCCATCTTGGTAGGGAGGCAGGGCTTTGCTTCCTCATGCCAGAGCTGCCCTCCCCGATGACTGGGGTGGGAAAGAGAAAGCCACTTGCCTCCTGGAGCGATTTTCATATTTTTACACACATTAAATCTGCATTTTTTGCCAACCAACACCCTGCTCAAAAAGTATATATGAAGCAGAGACCTATGAGAATATTATGATAGTGGCAACTATTTCTAAAATACATATTTTCAGAGTAGTAAAAAAACAAAAAACCAGTTAAAGTTTAAAGCAAATATTAAACCTTTTTTTTTTTGGTAAAATATAAAACCTGAGGTTGCGTCGAGTAAATAGATACCAAACATGACTCTCATAATGATGCTATATACGTGGTGCAATTTATGTTTACATACA